AAAATATTCAAAAGAGGATAACTCAAGAACCGGTGGACGGATCGTCGTGATTTTTGGTATGTAGGTAGCTTACGTGATGGTCGGTATAATTATGCGGCAATTATGCAAATCTGGATGTAATTTGCATAATTAATGGAGAAATTCTATACATCAGCTGCATTACATTGTAGGACTATTCAAGCTTGTGACTGTAATTGAGAACGAGAGAAACACAGGCAGATATTGATTATGTAAATTAATACTTAATTTGCATAATTAATGAGAAAATGTAATAATTCCATAATGCTAACTGCCTGGAATTTCATACTTGGGGTTGCTGGTGTGTTTTCTAAATTTAAAGCGACCAGTGTTACTGCAGTAACGTACGGACCTCCCACGACGCCCATTTCCGAACTTGATCTTGCTATCGTCAACGGTAACTTGCTCGCAAAAAATCGTGAACATCCATTTGCAGATTCTCGAATTATCCCGCTAACAACAATAACGACCACCACAAAAGGTCAAATTCAATGACATGGGAACCCCCCACGAGGCCCATATCCGAACTTGACCTTGGTATTTTTAATGGTAACTTGCCCACTAAAAATCATGAACATCCATTTAAGGATACTCGAGATATCTTGATGACAAGAAAAAACACAAAAAACAAAGGTCAACTGCAGTGACATAGAAACCCCCACGGGGCCCATCTTTGAATTTGACCTCGGCATTCTCAACGGTAACTTGCCCACTAAATATCATGAACATCAATTTAAGGATACTCGAGATATCTTGATGACAAGGAAAAAACACCAAAAACCAAGGTCAACTACAGTGACTTAGGAACCCCCCACGAAGCCCATTTTTAGCCTTGACAATGGCCACCCCCAAATCAACCTGCCTGCCAAAAATCGTGAACCTCAGACCATGCCTTCAAACTTTACCGTGCATAATCTACAAAACAGGCCGAAACCGATTTCATAGCCTTCTCGTCGAAGGCAATGATATGATATGATACAGCTAATGCCTGTATGGTCCTCTACAGACGATTTCTTGATTTTGCCTGCATTAAGTCATAAAACATGTATTATTCATCAGATTCAGCATCAGAAGAATCAGTACCTGAACCAGTATCTGAACCAGTACCTGAACCAGTATCTGAACCAGTACCTGAACCAGTACCTTCGATGCGTAAGTATATTTCTTTATACTCGCGAAGTAATGATATCTGGATAGTTGCCTACCAAATATGACACTAGATGGTCGTCAATTTATGAGGTAATTTGCTTTGATACTGATAGGATTGCAGCTAATGCCTAAATGGTCCTGTACAGACGGTGTCTTGATTTTGCCTGCATTAAGTCTTAAAACTTGCATCATTATTCAGAAGTCGTCAGTACTGTTGCTCCTATTCCTACTATTGGTAGGTGTATGTCTTTATACTCGCGAACTAATGACATCTGGATAGTTGTAAACAAATTATGGACATTAAATGATCGTCAATTCATGAGACACTTTGCTTTGATACTGATATAAATACAGCTAATTGCCTATATGGTCCTGTACAGACGGTTTCTTGATTTTGCCTGCATAAAGTCTTAAACTTGTATCATTAATCAGGATTGTGGCCCGAGCCAATGACTTCAGGTAGGTATATTTCTTTATACTCCGAACTAATGATATCTGGATAGTTGCTTACCAATTATGAACACTAAATTATTGTCAATTCATGAGGAACTTTGCTTTTTTTTGCTTTGATAATGATATGAATACTGCTAATGCCTATATGGTCCTGTACAGACGGTTTCTTGATTTTTGCCTGCATTAAGTCTTAAAACTTGTATTATTAATCACGATCAACATATACAAGGCTTCTATTCCTACGAGGGGAAAGTATATGTCTTTATACTCGCGCTTTGCTTTCATAATGATATGATACAGCTAATGCCTGTATGGTCCTGTACAGACGACTTCTTGATTTTGCCTGCATTAAGTCATAAAACATGTATTATTCATCAGCTTCAGCATCAGAAGAAACAGTACCTCAAACAGTACCTGAACCAGTACCTGAACCAGTACCTGAACCAGTACCTGAACCAGTACCTGAACCAGTACCTGAACCAGTACCTGAACCAGTACCTGAACCAGTACTTGAACCAGTACCTGAACCAGTACCTTCGATGCGTAAGTATATTTCTTTATACTCGCGAAGTAATGATATCTGGATAGTTGCCTACCAAATATGACACTAGATGGTCGTCAATTTATGAGGTAATTTGCTTTGATACTGATAGGATTGCAGCTAATGCCTAAATGGTCCTGTACAGACGGTGTCTTGATTTTGCCTGCATTAAGTCTTAAAACTTGCATCATTATTCAGAAGTCGTCAGTACTGTTGCTCCTATTCCTACTATTGGTAGGTGTATGTCTTTATACTCGCGAACTAATGACATCTGGATAGTTGTAAACAAATTATGGACATTAAATGATCGTCAATTCATGAGACACTTTGCTTTGATACTGATATAAATACAGCTAATTGCCTATATGGTCCTGTACAGACGGTTTCTTGATTTTGCCTGCATAAAGTCTTAAACTTGTATCATTAATCAGGATTGTGGCCCGAGCCAATGACTTCAGGTAGGTATATTTCTTTATACTCCGAACTAATGATATCTGGATAGTTGCTTACCAATTATGAACACTAAATTATTGTCAATTCATGAGGAACTTTGCTTTTTTTTGTCTTTGATAATGATATGAATACTGCTAAT